GCAGGATGCAGATAAGCAAGAAGCCAGGTTCCCAACCATTAGAAGCAGAGCATGGCAGGCAGTCTATTGGCCATTGCTGTCAGGTGCCAACACTCACACTATCTTCCATGCTGGTTGGAGCCCCAGCTGATGCTATTCAAACGCAGCCAGCACCCTCCTGTCAGCAGGGGCTTGTGCACTGCTGTGACACTGAATGGGCTTCGGTGGAGCTTCCAGACCAAGGGGAACTAGGAAGAAAGACCTGGTGATCTCTTTTCAAGAACCAGCTGGCACCACTATCCAACCTTGTGGTACAGTGGGAGGTCACTGTTAGCAGGGGGGGCACCTCAAGGGCAGCCATAAAACCCTCACACATACACACACACACCCTCACTGCTTGCCCCAGTATATAGAGCAGTAAACCTGACATGCATACACTGGTGACCAGCTCGGGTCACAGAACTGGGGCTGGTGGCTGTGAGGCCCTGCTGTTGACAGAAGCCAGGTGGGGAGGGAGGCGAGGCTGTGGCCAGTGAGGTTCAAGGGTCTATTCTGGTCTGTGGGGACTGGTACCTGCTGCCCCAGTGGGGGTGACAAGCCAACCCTAATGGGCTTCATTCTGCCTTGCAGAACTCCATGAACAGGCTGGCCGTGCAGGCCTTGGAGAAGATGGAAACCAGGAAGTTCAACTCCAAGAGCAAGGGGCGCCGGGAGGGGAGCTGTGGGGCCTTGGACACACTCAGCAGCAGCTCCACGTCCGATTGTGCCATCTGCCTGGAAAAGTACATCGATGGAGAGGTAACGACAAGGGTGAGGCAGACAGGCCAGCCAAGGCCCCGGGTCTCTCAGGGGAGGCCGTCGGAGGAGAGCTGTGCTCTGTAGGCGGTGACCGGAAGTGCCAGGTTGGTAGGCCAAAGAACTCGCGGTCCTGAGGACCGGAGCCCACGTTTGTTTCAGAATTGCCCTCTGAGAAGCCCAGGACCTGGCAGTCCCCACACAGACCTCCACCAAGAAGCTTTGTGGTGTTTCGACAGAGACTAGAGCTTTGCTGTCAGTCTGTGTCCCCCTCCCCCCCACTCTCTCCTTTTTTCCCCCACGACCTTTTATAAAGGTCCCCCACCCCCACCTGCCTATACACATTTTGGAGGAGAGGAGCAGGCAAACTTGGTGAGAATCGACTGCAGAGATTTCGATGGCCTTTGGTGGAAGTTTCACGCTGTGTGGACCTAGAGCAGACGCTAGCTTTGGGAGAGCGGGACTGCCTATAGACAGTGCTGACAGCAAGGCACTTGGCTGCCAACCACAAAGTGGGTGGCTCAGAGCCACTTAGGGTGTCTGGGACAAAAGGCCTGGCACCCTACTCCCGGAAGGTGACAGCCATGGGCAAAGCCCTACTCTGTCACACGGGGAAACTGATAGCAACTTGGGGGTGGGGTGGGTTTTGGGTAGTGGGGTCTTGTGTGGACACAGTTTCTAATTCTGGCCTGGCCATGTTGGAACTTTGTCCTCCGGTGACCAAACCAGTCCCTGTGCCATGGGCCTAGGCTGTCCTGCCTTCAAGCCACCCATGGCCACGAGGACAATGGGAGAGAGCCAGGGTGGGCCCAGCATTGGGTGTTGGCTGGGTTCTCCTGTGTCACACTGGCCTAGTGCATGAAAGCCACGGCAGAGCCACCAAGGGGCTGCTGTCTCACCATGCCTACCCTCTGTCCCCACAACGACCACACTCATCAGAAGCCATGTGCCTCTGGGCTGTATTCAGGTTTCCGTCAGGGAGCCGGCCAGGAGAGCCTTGCACCTTGAACTTGTCCTCGTCTGAGGCATAGGAGGTCTGCCAGCCAAGCCTGAGTGCCTGCTTCCAACTGCAGGGAAGGAGATGGCCTCTCTACGCTCCCATCCCTGCAAGCTAGGGGCTGGCTGGTGGGTAGGGCCTCCTAAAGGCACAGCTGACCTCCAGCTGGACTTGGGGTACAGAAATGGGAGTTATGGGGGATGGGAGACTCTGGCACAGGTGAACTGATCAGGGCCCAGGGTCCATTCGGGCTCAGCTCGAGAGCTGCCTGTTGCCGGTGCCGTCCTTTGAACTTTGTCCTCTCGCTTCTCAGGAGCTTCGGGTCATCCCCTGTACCCACCGGTTCCATAAGAAGTGTGTGGACCCCTGGTTACTGCAGCATCACACCTGCCCCCACTGTCGGCACAACATCATAGGTAAGCAAGCGGCTGGATGCCTGGTCAGAGCCGCTGCCATGTTGGAGGAGGGCGTGCAAGCTTTCTTCCCTAAAGCCGAGCCTTCTGATGTCGCTGAGCTGGGGTTTGGGCTTTAGCGGGAGCTGTGGTGATGCTTGCCTGTCCCCAGCCCCACGGGACCAGTCCCTCAGCCACTGAGGTGAGCAGTGAGGCGAACCCTGCATGTGATGCTGCCCTGCCCCCATGTCTTTGAGGGGGACCAGGGCCCCCCTGCAGGCTGCTGGTTCTCTGAGCAGGTCCTGTGTCCTCCAGGGGTGTTGTGAATTGTCTGGGATCAGGTCAGGCTCTGCCAGCAGGCAAGACTGCGAGACTGGGTGCTGACCCCAACTCCACGCTCAGCCTTGTGTACTATGCCTCTTCTCCCCCAGAACAAAAGGGAAACCCTGGCGCCATGTGTGTGGAGGCGAGCAACCTGGCGAGCGGTCGGCAGCAGCGTGTCCTCCTGCCCGTCCACTACCCAGGCCGCATGCACAGGACCAGTGCCATCCCAGCCTACCCCACAAGGACAAGCATGGATGCCCAGGGGAACCCTGTCACACTGCTGACCGTGGACCGGCACGGGGAGCAGGGCCTCTACGCCTCGCAAACCCCAGCCTATGTCCGCAGCTACCCCCCCCTCCACCTGGACCACCCCTTGGCCACCCACCGCTGTGGCCTGGAGCACCAGGCCTACTCCCCAGCCCACCCCTTCCGCAGGCCCAAGTTCGGTGGCCGCAGCTTCTCCAAGGCCGCCTGCTTCTCCCAGTATGAGACCGTGTACCAGCACTACTACTTCCAGGGCCTCAGCCGCCCAGAGCAGGAGGGGCAGCCCCCCACCAGCCTGGCACCCCGGGGCCCGGCCCGTGCCTGCGCATCCAGCAGCAGTGGTGGCCTGCTCTTCCCCTCTATGGCCCATGTGGCCCCTCCAGTCCACCTGGAGAGCGCCAGTGCATCCAGCTTCAGCTGCTACCACGGCCACCGCTCGGTGTGCAGTGGCTACTTGGCCGACTGCCCTGGCAGCGACAGCAGTAGCAGCAGCAGCAGCTCCGGCCACTGCCACTGCTCCTCCAGCGACTCAGTGGTGGACTGCACGGAGGTCAGCAACCAGGGCGTGTACGGCAGTTGCTCCACCTTCCGCAGCTCCCTCAGCAGTGACTACGACCCCTTCATCTACCGAAGCCGCAGCCCCTGTCGCACCAGCGAGGCCGGCGGCTCGGGCCGGGGGCTGGCCACGCCACTCGAGGGCTGTCCGATGCCCGAGGAACTGGCAGCCACGCCCGGGCATGGGGCTGGCCTGGGAGAGCCCTTAGGGGACCAGCTGTCCACCTGCAGCCTGGACATGAACTATAGCAGCAGCTCCTCCCTGGAGCCCCGTGGGCCTGCCGGCTCTCCCTCAGAAGTGGGGCTCGAGGCTTCTCCAGGGGCTGCCCTGGACCCCAGGAGGACCTGGAAGGGGGGCCATGAGGGTCTCACATGTGCCTGCTGCTGCGAGCCCCCGCCTTCTGCACTGGAGCCTGGCGTGGGCGCCCCCCTCTGTGAGGGCTGTGGCTCCTCGGGTGGGGGGGGTCCCCAGGGCCCCCACAGCCTTCGCCCAGGCCATTTTCCCAGGACAGATGGGGTGGAGAGTGAGGGCCTGCCTTGCTGCTTCTATGAAGAGAAGCAGGTGGCCCACAGCAGCGGGGGTGGCGGCAGCTACCATGCCAAGGACTACACTGTGCGCGTGCAGTACTCGCTCTCGGAGGAGCGCCCGGCTGGCAGCCCCCTGGGGGCCGGGGACCTGAGCCAGCGTATCCCCATCATCCCCGAGGACGTGGACGGAGACTTGGGCCTGCCCATGGACTGTCAAGGGGCCCGGGTCTACAGCCCTTCGACTGGGACAGCAGGCCCAGACACCCCACAAGCCCACCGGGGTCCAGGTAGGGCCCAGGCAGACGATCAGACTTTGGGTGGCCTATCGGGGGTGCTGCTGCAGCCACGCTGCCCTGCCGAGGAGAGGGGTCCCTTCCAGGATACTGGGGACATTGGGAACACCACGCCTGAGGCTGCAGGTGAGAGCCAGGGCCCCTCTTTCTGTGTCCTCAGGCGCTCTGTTTGCGGCTCCGGCTGTAAGCATGAACCTGTGCTCTATGGGCTTCACCTCCTGGTCCCACTCAGCTCTCTACTCCCGATGCCTCTCATACACACCAGCCACCGTGCCAGCAGCCCTCTGCCCTGAGTCTCCCCCCCAGAAGCCCAGACCCACTGCACGTGCCACACTCCGTAGCCTCCCCAGCCAGGTCAGGGCTTCCCCGTCTGCCTGTAGAATGCAGCGTTTGCTTTATTCCACACACCGTCATGAACTTGTGGTAAAATTATAAGGGCATTCCCTGAAGCACAATTTAACAAAATACGGAAAATACAAATTACACACACACACACACACACACACACACCACCCTACCCCACCCCCCCTACACACACATACACACATAGTCTCAAATTGCTGGAGTCTCCAAACATTTTATCTCAGGCAATCATAAAAGGTGTGTTCTAGCACCTTTGAGTAGCTCTGGGGCAAGTTCCTCCCTCAAGAATAGTTCCCAGATGTTCCCACTCCCCCATGTGCCTTCACCCAGCCCCCTTCCATCCCTTGCCCCGCGCAGGGGCAGAGTGTCTGTCTGCTGGAAAACCCTCAGTGGCTCACCCTTAAAATCTACAGCCTTCAGGCCGATTCCAACCCATAGTGAGCCTGTAGGCCAAAGTAGAACTGCTCCTTTACTCAGCAAAGAGGAAGCCCCTCAACGAGACAGTGGACACAGTGGGCGCAAACCAAACAGTTGTGAGGGTGGCACGGGACTGGGCAGTTTCATTCCGTCACAGCACAGAGGGTCACTATGGATCAGAACCAGCTCGACAGCACAAAATCCTTATAGCCTCGTCTTCCTCCCCCAGAGTGGCTGGTAGGTTTAAACCGTTCTCTGTTAGAAACGCTTCATCCGCTGCACCACCAGTCCACCTTCTATGCAGTTACCTTTTAAAAGCCCAAATCCGCACCCAGATTGACGTCACCTAGCCCCTGCCTACCCTTCCAAACACATCCTGTTTCTCTGCTTTTGCCCCCTCAGTGTCTGTCTAGTGCCCCCAACATCCACAGCTGCCGACCTGGCCCCCACACCTCCCCTGTCCGTCCCCTGAGGTCACCCCAGCCCCGTTGACCGCCACCAGAGTACTTTGTTTCTCTCGGGATCTGTCAGCTCTGAGGGCACTTTCTCTGGGCACTGGGTCCACTCCTCTGGTGCATTGTGTGGCTCCCGGAAGGCCCCACCCATGCACCTGTGATGCACACCTGCTCAAAGCAGACGTGAGTCAGTCAGCCTCAGACCCGTACCATGTGCACAGTGGGCTGGTGTGGCGAGCTCTCGCTCACAGAGGGAGCCTCCTGTCACAGATGGACCATCTGGGAAGCGGGACATGGGGGGCAGAGCCCTTTCCTGATGCTTGCTCTCTTCCTCCCAGGATCAGGATCTCGACTCCCAGGTGGCAGCGGAGGTGGCAGAGGTTCAGGTGCCTGAGCTCCGAAGGAACGCTAATCTGGAACCGGGACTGTGTAGACTCCAGACTTGGACTTCCTTCGAAAAACAGACTTTTTTTTTTTAGCTTTGACAAACACACAAAAGTGGTAATACAGAGACCCTCCTTCTCAACCCGGAATGTGAGCCGCTCCTGGCAACCCCCGCCCCACTAACTCCCCCGCAGACAAAATACTGAGTCCTCCACCTCTCTTGGGAACATGTTCTTCTTCTTCTGTGTTTTGTACAGTGCGTGTGCTTGGGGTTCCGAGGTGTGTGGGATTGAGTTCTCTGATTGTTGGGGTTTTTGTTTTTTGTTTTAAATATTATATGTAAATGTAAAAAGTTATTTAAATATATATTTTAAAGAACCCTAACTGCCAACTTTTGCTGAAAAAGGAAAAGAGAAAAAAACACACTGCTGCATTAAATGAACCACATCGTGTACATACTGTTGCCTCCCCTGTGGGGGCTCAGGCCTTTGAAAAGCTCAGGGCTACACCTGCCTTAGAAATGAACCCGAGACTTGAAGTCACGCTGGTTGATACGGACACAGACCCTGAGGAACGTAGTGCACCGCCGCTGCTGCCTCCCTCTCCCTGGGCAACCCCACGGTCCACGTGGCTGAAGCCAGGTGCCTGCAGTCGAAGGCCACAAGCGGACGCAGCTAGGATGAGGGGGGAGGTGCTGAGGGAGCTGGGGTTGTCCCTCAAGGAGGCAGGTGGCTCTCTGCCCACTGCCCTCAGTCCCACGGCTGGCCATCCCCAGGATTCAAAGGAGCCCGTAGTCACTGTCTAGGTGTGAGTCCCAGCCTAAGGGAGGGCCCCAGGCATGGGGGTGGGGTTCCTCTGTCTGGAACGCCTGACCCGAGGGCCTGCGGGAAGGGAGGGTCCCTGGGAAGCTTCCCCGTGGTGGGACCTCACCCAGCAGTACATTGGGCTTCCAGCCCCTGGCTGCAGAGTTCAGTGCAGGGGCACACACCAAAAGGAATGTAGTTTTGTGGCCTTGGTATTTGGTGGGGTACATTCGCCACGCACTCAACGATGGGCCATGGGGCCACACTGCGCATGCATCTCAGGCACAGCTATGCCCCGAGGCTGCTGCTTCCTGGGGGCGCATAGTGGGGACCCGATGGGGTCTGCGTTGAGATTGGTGGGGCAAAGCCTCTCCCATCCCCCTTCAGGTTGACAGCCCTCTGCATCGCGGCTGAAAGTCCTCCTCTGGCCTGGAAATGTCTATGATCCTGTCTAATGCACTATTATGTATTCATTCTCCAGGAAAGAGAGACTATGAGATAGTTCAGACCCAAAGGGTAGGTTTTTGTATATTTTTCCAGCATCTTTCTTTGTTTAAAAGGAGAGGGAAAGTGAAAAACCCAAACCGGTGTGTGGTTTTGTTGGTTTTGAGGAGTGGGGTGGGGGTGGAGGGAGATTCAAAAGATGTTTCCATTTTTAAAGGGAGAGAATCTATTTAAAGCTGTTTCAAATCAGGGAGTCTTGCATTTTTTTGTTCAATGTATTCCTTGTTCTTTAAAAAATATATATTTTTAGAAGAAATTAATTGCATTAGCCCTTAGATTCACTAACTCTTATCACTTCTATGTATTCATTCAATGGGGACTTGTTGCCATCTGAAAGATTTTGGCCCAGGTTCACTTGGGGAACGGGAATGGTGCAGCCTGGTCCCCCGGGTGGAGAGACAGGGACCACCACTGGGTGGCCAGCTGACTGGTAGCCCTCGCCAGTTAGCCTCAAGTGACATGGGCCTGGGCAGCTTAGCCAGCACACCTGGTATGAAATCCCACTCGATAGGAACTCTTCACCACCACCACCCTCCTTAAAGCCCCCGCTGTGATGAGGAAGTTGCTTGCTTCTGGCCAGGATGTGATGGTGGAGAAACTGCAGGTTCCCATCAGTGAGCCTCATAGAGCCACATAGAGACACCCGGCTGTGGTGAGAGTTGGCCCCCAGCCTTGGTGGCAGGGCCCCCTGGGGGCTGGCTGCTCTCTGGGCTGTGCCCGTGCACCTGTCGGTGAGAGTGTGCGAAGCCCTAAGCTGTTGACATGTGATCCAGCCGCCTTTATACCTCAGGCCAGGAGTCCCAGCTGCCGAGGACAACAGCCTGCGTGTCGTGTGGTTTGAGGGAACAGGGCTAAGGCTTTGAACATAAACTGCAGAAAGCAGCTTCTCATGGTTAAATTTTTACCCCCTCTGTCTTTAATGCTTTTGAGTGGATATTATCTTCCTTGTCTGAAACCATGCCCCCAAAGTGGCATTCTTTAGCCCTGACTGGAAAACTACTCAACACCCATAAACCATGACTCAGCTGAGACTATAGCTTCAGCTGGGCTTATATTAAAATAAATGCACCCCACTTTTTCCTTTGAGAGGGAAGCACATTTCATTTCTGTGTGTCTTAGGGAATGGTGGCCACAGGGGGCGGGGGTCAGGGGCCAAGGAACGTCTCTTAAATGTGTGTCGGCACATCAGAGGGGACCAGCGTATTAACTGACTGTATCATTGCCTCGCCTTTTAAATCAAACAGCTTCTTCAAAGTTGTAAGAACGACATTCTTGGCACACTCTTCAGCATTGGGTGGCAGTCAGGGTGAGACCTGTGAGAGCCGGAAATGGGCCTGGTTGGCAGTCTGGCACCTTCTCTGCCTTTGACAGGGTGCGGTCTAACCACTTTTCTCTCAGTCTTTCGGTGGGCAACGTCTGCACTTGTCTTCTTTGACAGGTTTCTGCCTTACACGGGTTGGCTGCCACAGGGATTATTGTAGTTAGCTGTGGGGGCTGCAAGAAGACCCCCGACCCTACCTAACCCTGCCCCCCCCCAGGCTGAAATGTGGTTCTTGAGCAGGTGCCACAGCCCAGCCCTCTACCACAGCCATGTAAACGCAGCTGTTAGCAATGGCTATTTGGGTGTTCTGCCCGACAAGGTACCTTGTTGGAGACACAGCTCCAGTGAGCTGGCTTGAACTCCTCCCCGTCAGCCCCACTCTCTAACCTGGCCCACCGCGTTTTGTAAAGCCTGGTGGGCTGCTCGGCTGGAGGTTCCTGCAGGACTAGTGCTTCCGAAATGAGGTCGGAAAGAGAGCGAGGATTCCAGAGTGCTGTTCTTCAAGCAGAGCTGCCTTGTCTCTGTTCTCGATGTGATGCCTTCCAATTGTGTTGGTCTAACGAGGCACTATTTTAAAATGTGTTTTTTAAAAAGAAAAATTTTTTTTCTCCCATAGCACTTAAAGAGAGAGATTCTGTAAAGATTTTGCTGTAAAGCTTTTGTAATAAAATGGTCTAAGGGCTCTTTTCTCCAACATTTCCATTAAAAATAAAATGTTTTAAAGGCTAGAAAACAACCTATGTATATTCTGTATATGTATAGCAGCACATTTCATTTATGGAAATATGTTCTCAGAATATTTATTTACTAATATATTTATCTTAAGCCATGTCTTATGTTGAGAGTGTTGGAATAATCATTGAAAATGACTAACACGAGGCCCTGTAAATACATGATAATTGCACACAGATTTTTACATATTTGCCGACCAAAAAAAAATGATTTAAAACAAGTTGTAGTCTTCTATGGTTTTGTAACAAATTGTACAAATGACTTTTTTTTTAAAAAAAAATACAGTTTTATCAAGTATGTGTTACACGTTGTCATGGCTCTCTTTGCTCAGTCTGCCAGCACTGTACAAAGCAGAGGCGTGTGTGAGGAGGCCAGTGCCTGCCTTTAACTTCAGTGCCCACAAGACCGCAAGAGGGGAGCTGCAAGGGTTATCTTCTTGAGGTGGTTGGGGGCTTTCTCTTCAACGGGGTGTGACAGGGATGAAATTGGCAGTTGATGACTTCACACATTTTTTAATTAAAGAAAAAAAAGTTGTATCCCATCCCTGCCCAAAGCTGAGTTTTCTGTTAGGTTAATGAGGCTGTCTCAGTTGATCACTTCTGAGTGACAGAACAGCATTGACAGAAGCAAGCAAGCCCCAAAATGGGATGGGGGCCAAGGGGAGGGAATGGACCCATACGGATATGATCAAGAAACAGACACTGAAAGATCTTTGGGGGCAGAGTACTCCCTAGAATTTAAACTTCTGGCCTCCTGAATACTGGGAGCCCTGATGCCATGGTAGGCTAAGCAATGGGCAGCTAACTGCCAGGTGAGCAGTTCAAAACCATCAGCTGCTGCTCAGGAGAAAGATGAGACTACAGTACTTTCTACATCTGTAAAAAGTTGGTCTCAGAAACCTACAGGGGCAGCTGTACCTTTTTCTATAGTTGAATAGACTCGGTGACAGTGAGTGAACGAGTGAGCCAGCCTCCTGTGCTGCTACAAAAACAGACTTCTGCCTTTTCAAGTTGCCCCATTTAGGGTGTTATAGCTGCACCAACCAGGAAACAGGCAGGGTGGAGGCCAGTGTTCAAGTACCAGCCTCATCTCTACCTAGAAGATCCGAGAGGTCCCTTAAACGGGTGGGAAAGGACAGGGACTACAGCCTCCCGAAACTAGCTCTGGGTGAAATGCCGTGAGAATCCCTGCTAACACGTCAAGCACTCCAAGGTCACGTGGAAGGTATAAAGTGTTTATTTCTCAGACATCCAGCAGAAAAGATCCAACCCCAGTGGTCCTATTTCCCGCTCTTTAAATCGGGCCATTTCTTTGGCCCAGACTCCTCACTGAGTGGGGCTGCTTCCTGCCCAGCGGCAGGTCCTTCTGGGCACCTTCGGGGGTGGTGGCCTGGCTGCACAGGGCATCCCAGAGCTTCTGCTTAATGGCCTTGCCCAGCTCCAAGCTGTACCTCCTCGGGGTCCCAGAGGGATTCCACAGCATTGGCTCGACCACGGCGTGGTACAGCGCCTTGTAGCCCTCGGTAGGGAGGCCGTGGATGGTAAGCGTATCCTCTGGCCACTGTGATCTCTTTCTGGCTTCAGGAAGCCTGGCCTGGCCCTTCCAGGCTGAGGCCCCACTGTCCCAGGGCAGCGCTTGGGTGGCGGCCACATGGTCGGCATATCTGTCCTCAAGATCTTGGCTGACAGTTGCTTTTTTCTCCTTTGAACTTTCTTTACTCTAGCCAAGAAGAAAGCAGAGAAGTCAAAGCCAAAAACTCGAGAAGGGTGCTCAGAATACTTATCTGGAATTTGTGTCCCCACGTCTGGGTTACAGCAACAACCAACATTTCGCCTAGCGTGCCCTAGCTTATAGAACACCTTTAAGTTTACCACTGCAGGTTTTCCCTGAAACCCTGTAAGGGCAGCAGGGCTGCTTTAAAGAGAGGGATTGAACTTGGCTTGCCCAAGGCCACGCAGCTTGATGGTTCATAAGCCCCATGCCAAGGCAGGATCCCAAGAGGTGGCTCTGTTTAAAGGACCTTCGCATGTGGGGAAAGCAAGTCTTTGTAAAGCCCTAAGCCAGAAGGGCTGTTCCCCATTTTATAGGCAAGAAGATCAAGGTTCAAGTAGGTTAAGGCCAATGTCCTCAGTTACACCCAGCGCTGAAATTGGGATCTCAGCGCTGGCCTCCATGGAGCAATGGACTCACAGCAGACCTCTGGTCCCCAGTCCTCCCTAGAGGAGTTCATACAGTTGTGACATCTGGCTCTGTGTACTCCAACTATGCCCCACCCTTTAACTTTCTTTCACATCCTTTTCCTATTTCCCCTTCACCCCAGTTTCTTCTGATCCATGTTCCTAGAAGCCCCCTGGTCCCTTTGTGGCCGGAAACCCAGATCTGCTTTCTCCCCTAGATCGCATCAGGCCACCCACCTGTCGTCATCCCTTCTTAAACTTCAGATTCCCTCCTCTTGGGACACATCTCTGAAACGTTTGTCTATCCCGTGCCCTCTAGCCACACTTTTCCCTCTCCCTGCCCACCCCACTTGCTCCATCACAGGCCAGCATCTACCTCGCCTCCTGCAGGCTTCTTGCGCCTAGGTGAGCCAGGCCACTGCCCGGCAGGCCGCTTGCTTCTGGTCCTGCTGGAGTTTCTGATGCCATGCGCAGGGCTGTCCTTGGGCTTGAATCCCTTGGAGGGTTTTGCTTCTTCAAATTTGCGCCGCCCGGGGCAGCATTGGTCCTTGAGTTGGCGCCTGAGGACCAGCTTCACCAGGGAGAAGGAACTGGCCGTTAATGGATTCTTTACAACTTCCCAAGAAGAGCTGGTGACTGGAGTTGGGGCATGGGCAGTCTGCCTGGCACCCTTCCTGGCCGTCCATATGTTGGTGAGAGCCGGTGAGTCCACATAGCAGTCCTGCAGCCTGGTATTCAACAGGATGGACTCTCGGAGTCTGTAGGTGGGGTTGATGAGGTCTCGTCTCACGGAGACTGGATGCTAGAATGACAGGGGGAGGGAGGGGAGACCATGAAAAAAAAATAACACCTTAAGCACAGGCTGAAAGGCCTAGCATCGACAGCCAGTGTCCTCTCCATGCCTCCCCAAGCCTTGTGTACCAAGTCAGGACAAGATAGTACTTTCACAAGGTCGCAGGGATACCCCAACTCTCGGAAGACAGCGCGTACAGGGGTGGAAAGTGAGGGCTTTTCAGGGGGGGGGGGCATTGTAGGGCAGGAGAGAAGGCCATTCCTATCTGCTGGATAGAGGAGGGGGTCAGTGGCAGGAATCGGAGACTTGGAGGCTCCATTTAAGAGTTAGCGTCATCCCTCTGTGCCGAGACCCAGAGATGGCAGTGGCTACAGCCCTACCAGAGCAGACCCGGAGTGCACTTTCTCACCAGACATGCCCGAGCCAAGAAAAGCTGTCAGAAAGAAACGCTCGGGGTTCCAGGAGCACAAGGAGCACCAGGTCAATGAGAAGCAGCTGATAGACAAGATTCAACGCACCAGTTCTCCAGACCTGACTGTCTTAAGAGATGGCAGATATTAAAAATAAAATAAGAAAATCACCTTACCATGTTTTTCGGTTGCCTTAAATTTTATTTTAGCTAGCTTAGTAGGGGATAGCAATATGTATTTTCTCTCCTTTTTTTTTTTTTGTTATTTGCTTATTCTGATTATTCTTTAATCTCCCTCTAGTCACCTGCCTTTTCTCTGCCTAGTCACGTGTGAGCAAATCACAGTTTGTTTTAGATTTGGGCCCCCCTGTGCAGGTGCGGGCAGGGCTGAGCCCTGCTCTCTAGTATTTGTGATGTCACTATGGTTTGTGATGTGGGGGTGGTTGGGTGTTACATCATCAGGTTTGATGGTTCAATGACGGCTGCCAGGGTGCTCTCTTGATGTGCTTACTGTCCTCCCTCAAGCTGTTGAGGTGCTCATTTCCCACCCCCAGAAGAACGAGACAGTCTCCACATCCTTCCCCACCACGAAGCCAGGTGGTCCAGCTGGTGGTGAACCCCCTGGGTGGTTGACCAGGAGGTCAGTGGTTCAAATTCGCCAGTGGTTCCTACCTGAGAACACACTGCTCCTGTGAAGAGGTGCAGCCATGAGAGCCCCTGAGCCGAATTGAATCAGTCTGAAGGAGGCTGTGGGCCAGAATCCAGAGAACACATCTGTGGGTACGGAAAGGTTGTCAGCTGGGCAGGTGAGATGTGCAGCCCCAGGTAGAAAGGGATGCACGCAAACATGTGCACAAGTCCAGAAAAAAGGTACTGTGGGATTCTCAGGCAGACTAGACGGTCTACCCCAGGTCAAGGGTGACCGTCTCAGAAACACACATGAGCAGTCCTACCCTGTCCTCTACGGCTGGCATGAGTCAGCGCCGACTGGACGGCAGGCCGTGAGTTAGGTTTTTTGTTTTTCTTTTAGAGCTACCACGAGTGAAGGACGTGGTCCCTGTAGCTCTGGGTGCCTCCCCGCTGCCTGTGTCTCCTTCCCTGGCTTCTGGAATGTGGTTTTACTTTACATCCCCCTGGCAAACGCAGTAATTAGACCCTTTCTCAGTGTCAAGAGTTTGAACAAAGAACAAAGCCGCCTCTTCCTGGGAACTCTTGGGCAATGCTTCACCTCTTATCAGGTGCTTGTCCTGTTGGTGGTTTGGCTATTTCATACACAGATGCCCACGGAGCCTGTCTCCCAAGGGGGAGGAGAGCAAAAAGAGTGGAAAAAGCTTGTCGGAGTCTGGCAGGAGTGCCTGGAATCGCATGTGTTGCCGGTTTGAATGTTGGAGTGTTGTCCCCGGAGGAAATCAAAGCCTGCAGGCAGACCGCACCGCGGGTCGTGGTGGCACCACCTCCACCCCACGGCAGCTGGACCCACAGACGCTGCAGAGGACAATGGAGCCCATTCAGCAGTGAGCCCTGGCCTCACCTCCCAAGAGGTGGGTCAGCTTCAGCACCCGGGTGGGGTGGGGTGGGGGGTGGAAAAGGCTTGTCTCTGGGAAGAGTTTGCGAATGTCTGGAGGCTGAGCAGGCAGGAGGCCCATCAAAGCCAGAGGTGGCACTAGGCTCTCAGCCCACCTGGAAATGACCATGGAAATGACCGTCTGCTCCCACTCTGCGTCACAGGGGACAGGAGGGCAACGGCGAGAAAAGGAGCCATCCTTCTGGTTGGGTTCCTCCTTCATCTTGAAGAACCCTCACCTTTCTCAAAACTCACCCTCTGGCCCCAGCAGCTTCCCTGCACTGTTAACAGTATGGAATCCTTGCTGTGCACGGGACACCGTTCCAGGCGCTTCGCGTTTCTTCTCATGAAATGAACAGTCCTATGGGTTTGGGTGCAAGAAAAGCGACCGAGGAAGCACCGATAGCTCAAGAACCATGCCCCGGATCCCCCAGCTGGTAACCACCCAGGGTAGATGCCACCAACGTCTCCAGGCCTCTTGTTTCAACCCCTCTGCCCACTGTCACCACGATGTGCTGGTCTGGCTGGAGGCCCAACTACATAGTACAAGTCACCCCAACTCTAGACCTAGCCTCCTCATGAAACTTTCTCAGAGGTCAGGAGTTAATATCCATTCCAGACCCATCCTTCAAGGGTCCATTCAAGTCCATTCACTCTCTGCACCTTAGTCTTCTCATCTCTGATATGGGAGCAGTGATCCTGCTTCTCCCAGCCTTCTGGTGAGAATGAAATGAGTGGCGCGCACACACAGCAATTGCTCAATAAATCATATTCCGACGAACTTTATTGCTCCTGGGGTCAATTTATTCATCCGGTGCTTTCCTGAGCTCCCCTTGCACATGGTCTGAACGAGACAAGCTGGTGAGACTTTCATGGTAAGCCCTTCTCCGTGAGCCCCTGTTTGGAGGCCCAGTAATGAGCCCTGGGAAGGGGAGGAATGATTCTGTTTTGATGGTGAAGGGCATCATGGCATCTTCCCGTGATGCTCTTGGGTGGGTAATTGTCAGCTTTATCAATCTCCTAGTAGGGTCTCCAGTCACCACCCTGTGTATCCCGGGCTTCCTTACAAGGAAAGGGTTGGTGGGTACCTGAGGAGAGGGTGAGGGGAGTGGCTAGTCTTTAACAGAGTTTAACAGCTGACTAATCAGCTGCTCCTGGGAAGAGAGACGGGGCTTTTACTCCTCTAAACTGTCTTCAGACACTCACAGAGGCAGTTCTACCCTGACCTATAAGGTTGCTATGAGTCGGCATGGCTGGATGGCGGAGTTTGGTTTTTCGGGTTTAGTCCATCGGAGGTTGCTTAGAGTTAGAAAACTCAAGCTCTAAACTCGCTGCCATTGAGCTAGAGAGCTGAAGGTTGAGGCAGGAAGGGCCGCCAAGCTGCTGAAAGACCTGATTCTCAGTTTGATTCTCCCATGAAGCTTTTGAAAACCCTGCGCTCAGTCTAAATCAGCATCATTTCCCAGCCATCATGTTGAGCCGTACTTCCTGATGTACGTAAACCACCGATTCTATTTGGAAACATCTGCTCTGCTTTGATGCGGAGCCAGGCTCTTTGCTCTGTATTTTTAGCTCCTATAATCTTTCTTTCCTATCCTTCCCTTTTCCCTCTTTCCTGGACCATTACCTTTCTTTGCTTCAGCTTCTCTTCTCCTTCAGGAGGATCTGCTAATGAAGGAGAGGGCGAGACAATGGCTTTTAATTTGCATCTCCCTTTCTTAATCTCTACCTCACCACTCTAGTGGAAATGAGTTGCTGGGGGTTTGGTTTTGTTTTTAATTTCCCCAAAAGATGTCTCTATTTGAATACTCAAGCGGAGAACTTTCACTGCCCTCAGAAGCGCAAAGCCTGGGAGGAGAGAACTGGAAGAGATTCCTGAACCCGAGACACAAGTTCTGCAGAGCAACAATTTGGACCAAATGTACGTCTAGCACGAGCCACATGTGTGCACCCACTCCCAACCCCCACCCTCACCACCCGCCCTTCTCACTGTCACTCGGGGTGGGGGTGAGGGGCAGACCCCCACTTCCTGGTTTCCAACCCAAACCACCTCTGAGTTCTCAGGCAAGGCCCCCTGGACATCCCACCAAACCAGAGAAAACCAGCTCCCTGGCCAGTAAGGTAGTTCTGACTTAGTCGCTCCCCATAGAACTGCTCTGTAGGGTTTCTTGGCTGTCATGTTCATGGACGCAATCGCCAGGCCTTTCTTCCTCAGTGCTGCCATGTGGGTTCAAACTGCCAACCCCTGGGTTCCTAGTTGAACACAGACCAGCAGCGCCACCAACCAGGGCCCTATCGGATGACCCACAGACACTAAGTTCAAGACCAACTACTTTCTCGCCGCTCCTCACCCCAACAGAAGCAGCAAATGGCAGCTTTCTCTTTTCCATCCCAAGCTCCCGGAGCCAGAAACCTGGGCGGCAGGCTCAGTGGTAGTGAGAGCCATGCCAAGACAGACTGAAGGTTGCAGGAAAGGAAAAAGTCAGTAACAGGAAGCCTGTCTTCACTGAAAGTCTTGATATTTGGTTCATCACGGATTTTCTCTTGCACTTCGATTTTTCAAAATTGACCTAAAATTCACATCAGTGTAACCATTTCGGAGTGTACTATTCGGTGGTATCTCTTAGATGCACAGTGCTGCGAGTCCATCAGTTCTGTCTACTTCCGGCCTAAAAGAGAATGCTGTGGCCAGTCATCAGCCACTGCCCATGGCTCCCTCCCCTCCAGTCCCTGGCAGCCACTCAGTCTGCTTTCTGTCTCTATGAATTTGCCTGTTATGGGTATGGCATAGTGATTACACAGGGCTGCTAACCGTAAGGCCAGCAATTCGAAACCACCGGTTGCTTCACAGGAGAAAGAGAAGGCTTTCTACTCCCTTGAAGAGTTAGTCTTAGAACCCCACAGGGGTAGCTGTATGCTGTCCGATCCGGTCACTGTGGGTCAAAATGGACCCCGGGCAGTGAGTGAGTGAGGTTTGTCACATAAATGGAATCATCCTCTAGGTGGTCTTTTCACTTATTGGGTCTTCTCAGTTCAGCATCCTGGCAGCATGTATCAGTACTTCATGCCTTTTGAAAGCCAAATAAATACCCCACTGTATGTGTCAGCCAAATGCACTGCCATTGAGTCCATGCGACTCATAGAGACCCTATAGAACAGGGTAAAACTGCCCCTGTGAGTTTCTGAGTCTGGAACTCTATGGGGTTAGAAAGCTCCGTCGTTCCCCCAAGCAGTGGCTGATGGTTTCGAACTACTGATCTTGGGGTTAGCAGCCCAATGCGTAGTCCTCTACATGTTTATCCATTCATCAGTTGATGGGCAGTTGGATTGTCCCCCACCTGCTGGCTAGTATAGCCTCTATAGACAGTTAGGTTTTTAAGATACAGCATTAAAATCTTATTTATTATGATTACTGAGTTCTGTGTCTGTCTGTGTTTTAGGGG